AGAGATTGCATTATTTGTAACTATCAAAATATTAATGAGATGAGAAAGAAAGAGTGTTGAAAGAAGGACCCTCAAAGGTTGATAATATCTACTATTAATGACTAAATGGCCTACATGGCCCTATATTTATTGGCTTTTGGGGTTTCTTTCCTTTCTTTTCTTCAAGTGCCCACTCGAATAACCTGTACCTGCCAATACAGTACCACACGGCTTCACTTTTTTTTCCTCTCCTTTATTTTCCTTATTTTTTTTTTGAATTATTCTTATCTGTCCTAAATTATTATAGTCTCTGTGTTTCAATATTAATGCACCGATTGTAAACAAAAACATATTAATGCATCAGTTGTCTAATTTAACCATTTTGTTTTTACAAATATCAATATATAAGGCATTTTAGGTTCATTTTTATGCATATATCAACATCTTAATCTTTTTATACTATATTATTTACATCAAATAGAGATTATTTATGATATATAAAATATTTATTTATTGTAACTAATAAATAATGGAGATAATATATTAATAATTATAGATTATCGGTAAACATATGTACTACTATGTATATTTGTAAATTTATTTATCAAAGTAATGCATTTAATTTAAATCAGAATAGGTACATTATTATTAGAAAAAAAAAAAAAAAAAAAAAGGTCGCAAAAAAAATACTCCGTAATAATAAAGGAAAGAAAAATAGGCATGAGTTATAATTGCACTCTAAACAGTCGTTTTCATTCAAGTAAAAGGAGATTCCATGACAAAGGTGTGTTACATGCTCTGACAAACTACTGCTACCAATTACACCACCATTATTTTCCCCTACTCAGTCCTAGGGGCACCCATTTTCGTCTTTCTGATTTCTCAACATATAAAGTTTTTTGCATTTTCTAGATTTCTTTGATTGAATTGTGTTCTTCACGTAACTGCTTTTTGATCCCATTTTTGAGAGATTTTGGGGTCATGTTAAATATTGACCCTTCGGAATGACCCTTATATATATTAACCGACCCATTGGTTTACCATGTTTGTAATAATCTAAAATACTGGTAAAATAAAAATAAATAAAAAATTAAAATAACAGTAAGTTTAGGTAAGTTTTAATAAGACGAGTATCTCTAAAGTATAGTATTATACTCAATAATACTGTATTTCTTTTGTTACAGGACTCGACGTAGGTTTCCAAATTCCAATCCATAATAAAATTGACGAGAATACCCTTGACCAATGTCCATCTCTGTCAGGAGGAGGTTGATTGACATTATGGACATGAGTAGGACATAAAAATAGCAGTGATTTTATAAGGTACGGAACACCACACGTCCACAGTTGATGTCTTCATGGCTTATCCTCAGGATCTGCCTTTTCTCCATAGCAAGAAATAAGTAATTGGCCATCTCCAAATCTTGTTGGTGTCTTTAATTTGGGATATCAGGTACTCTGATACATGACAATCTCACCAGCCACTCTGTACCTACTTCACTAGTTAGATCTGGCAAGATTTTCATCACCCAAACTTAACCCCATTTGACAGTACACGGTTTTGACTCGAACATAACTGGACCTGATTAAAAAACCTAAGATAAGCGATAATGATTGATTTATCATACTAAGCTACTTCTACTTCAATATAGACCCAAGAAGTTGACCCGTACTTAATCTGACCTATGCCACTCATTTGCCACCTCCACAGTGATTAGCAATTTGGCAAGTGCAGTTATTGTCCTTTGAAAGTCATAATTTCTGAATTCTGAAGAGAACCAAAGATTATAATTGTTTGATTTGTCGCAGGTACTTAAGGCAAATTAAAGCTCAACAAAAAAAAATAAAAAAAAATAAATAAATAAATTGTACATTTATATAGCTAGCTAATTTTCAAGAGTTTCAAGTTTTCTGAACATAAATACACCAGCAGAGGTGAACACTGAATTTCACCTGTTTATAAGGATAAAGTATTTTGTTCCGGAATACTCTCTAGAGTCTGTACCACTTAAAGTTTGATTTTAGGAGACCATCCTAACGCAAAAACAACTAACGAATCAGAGTCTAAAACCGTACTGAACTGCAAACCATCACAACGAGTGAACCAAATTACCAAACGATCACCATTCATTGATGAAAAAAGTAAAAAGTTCATGGTATGGTCCATTTTACCAGCCATACCCCATGTAAGTCTATCACTAAAACCAAAAGATCTTATATCCAACAAAATCCGAGGGAAGAAAAAAGTGAAACTACAGTAGATCATGTTATGTTTCAGCCTAAAATAGAAAAAGATGTGGATAAGCACATGCAAGTTTATGATCCAACTATTTTTTCCATAGTAAGTTTTGAGCAAAGCTTCTGCTACATGACAGCAACAGGCCACTCAACCTATTCGTTTGCTTGTAAATCAATCCAGAAAATGACTAATCGTCTATACAACCAAGCAAGACATCTAGTAGAAAGGGTTCGCCGAAAACCCTTGCTGATACATTATAGATAGCAGGACAGAAGGTATAACAGCTTCCACGAGTAAACCGACCTATATTTCACATAAATGCTAAGCCCGAGTAGGACCTGTCTTAGTATGCCCGGCCGGGTCAAGGCCTTTCGATGGGCCCCACCTTGTTGACAGCTCAACTGATTGCCCATGGCCCACCTAATACAGATTCAATCCACCTGATTCTGTATCTGACTAGAGACAGCTACACAAGTAGTAAAGAACAGATCAATTTTACTATTTTGACAACACAAAAATTAGACCAGTAGCAATCTTCTGTTCAGGTTATATTCCCCTATAGCTGTTTCCATCTAAGTACCTAAGCAAATGAATATTAGTTGCCATCATATGCTCAATATCAGATAAAAGTTTGAACAAGCCTCAGCCAGAAAATGGAACAGGATTTTTACCATGATATTTCACACCAATCAGTATCTAACTGCAGCACAAGATTACCTATCATCCACTCAAGCAGCTGCCTAGACTATGCTGCTCGAACAACCAAACTCTTCAATTTTTGTCCGATATTTGACATTATGACATAATTATGAACACAGACACTTCAATTTGGAGTAACATCGCCCCATTACTTCCATAGAAAAACCAGAGTCTGAAACCAGAACACGAACTTCATTGCTCGACTATATGCTCTTTCACCAGAAAACCCCATACAGGGTCTTGAGCTAAACTTGATAGACCTAATTTGAATTTATCTAAACATACCAACCCAAATGCTAACAAAGTAGACCTTATTCGTACTTTACTTTAAAAGACCTTTACTTTGTACTGTATGAATTTATTCAAAATCATACAACCTTATCCAAACATATGTGAGCTATCCCTCATTTAAACTTAATGAAGCTGATCCAAACTTATAAGACCTGAAGCCTTCGTTCAGCTTTTTAGAGCTTAAGTAATATAGACAAGATGATAAAATTTCAAGCTCTTTAAAAGACCTTTACTTTGTACTGTATGAATTTATTCAAAATCATACAACCTTATCTAAACATATGTGACCTAAGTATCCCTCATTCAAACTTTTCAAAGCTGATCCAAACTTATAAGACCTGAAGGGTATTGTTCAGCTTTTTAGAGCTCAAGTAACATAGACACGATGACAAAATTTCAAGCTCTAACCAAGCTTTTTCAAACTTATCCAACTTCAGTTCTCATGATTTTCACCTCTGACAAACCAGCTTTGTACATATTCTAATTCCAAAGAACCCCATAGCTAATTCATCTTAATGGACCACAATAATTTCTAGAGGACCAATTTACTCTAGCAACAGGGGTCTTCGATAATGAACTCTATTCCATTGGCCACATGACCACATACAATCAGAGGAAAAGCTCTACACTGCTTTCCAAAATTCAATTACACATCTTCGCCTATTTAAGCCATTAGTAAGTTGGTTACACCACCTATTCCTACTTATAACATGTTATTACTCATAAAATCTCTTCCCGTCCATTATCCATGCTACTTTTTCATACGCTATTTAACTTATCAAGTGTGACCAAAGTTTCAATTTTGTTCTCATCATTCAATTTATTTCCTTGCTTTGCTATCACTTAATAATATACAAATTTCTTTAACAAGACTTCCTTTTTATACCCAACACCAACAATTCATCACCTCTAATCAATGTTGCTAGCAGATTCCTTTAAAGTATTCAAATTTGAAAATTTGCCTCATATAGAGCACGACATAAGAAAGATACTATGCAAACTTGTGACTATGTATGCAAGGCAGCACAAACATAACACAAAGTATTTCTTGCCACTTTGACAGCTATAAAGATAGTGCCATTACACGCTTAGTTGTCTGGTAAATTCAATAAATTCACAAGACATTTAATGCTACCTCCAAAATGCTTCTAGCAAGCCTTCTGATTACTTCAGATTATCTTTCCTCAGTCTATTAATATGATAAATGTGAGCCCAAAATCATCGGTTCCATTTACTTAGGATAAATCTTTCATTACTGTTCTTCCTATTACAGCTTTTTACAGTAGGTATCAGTTTATCAGAAAGCATATCAAGCTACCCAAGCAAATCAATCCTTCCCTTGACTTCATATGAAAAGCAAAACTTTCCAAGGATAGAGACCAATGTATGGTATACAACAACCCAAAAGTTCTAGTCAGTTATTTCTGTGTATGCCGCTCTTCTTTTGCATACTCTCTCTCTCTCTCTTTTGTTCTATTTTTCTTCCTGCTCTTTGTTTCACCAAATTCTATCATCCATCCTATATCTCCATCTCACTATTTACCTTCCTTCCCCTACCTCCATCCCTAATCCTCAATTCTTTTTGAGTTTTATAATTTAGGTTACCAGATTCATTTACAACTAAGTCTATCTACATCCATATTGGTAATTCCATTTGTCCACAATAAAGCCTAGAAGTACACAGTATTGTTGTGTTTTCCATATCAATCATAGCAGTAATAAGTATCTTTTTCTGTGAATATCACATAATCGATCAAGAAAAAAAAAAAAAACAGTAAACAAAGGAAAGAAATAAGAAAAAGTAAGTGATATCTCTTTCATTTCTTGTAAACGAATATCATACATTCAATCAGTTAAGAACAAGAAAATCCACATAAACGAACATAGACAAGAGGAAAGAGTATTACAAGTCATGTTGGCTCTTCCACTTGGACTGCAAAATTGCCTAGCCTTCTGCTTGAAGGATGGTCTCTAGAAGCCGCAAAATAATGAGACAAATGCACACGGTATATAAACATAATAAATCAGGAGACACTCCCATCAGCAACATTTGATCGAAGATTTCTTCTAGTAGGGCGATTTTTCCCCTTCATGTAACTTGAATTCCAATCTCCTCCATCCTGAGCATAGTAATCCATAGGATAATCACCTCCATGATCAACCCCACCTTTGTTATTTTCATTATCACAACCACAACTCCCCCCATTTCTCCCACAATCAACACCAACAATGCTATCATCTCTTTCCCACCAACCACGAATCAAGCCAAGCGCAATCTCAGCCTCAAACGGATTCAACAAAGGCCTATGGAATGCCTCCCCCCAATCAATAGATAATCGAGGACAAGCAATTTGAATCCAAGCATCAATCGAATCCTCAAACAACTCAATCCTAGAAGGTGATATTTCCGACATTAAAACAACGGTCCACGACATCCCTTTCTCCTCCATCTTCCTCTCCAACCTCTCAAGACTCTTCGGGTTCCCCTGCCTCCCAAGTGTCCCCAACACAACTCCCCAATTCTTAGCCTCTTTCGCCTTCAAAACCGCCCTCATTCTCGAATCCTTCATCCCTTTATGATCATACTCCTCCAAAAACAACCTCCCCAAATATGGATCATATCGAAAGGCCTTAACCCCGGGATTCGCAATCATAAACGCCTCTAAATGAAACCTCCCATCAGCAACAAACACAATCACCAAATCCCCATCATCCCCACCAACCCCAACACCCCCAAAATCCTTCATTGAAACCTTAGGTGCAGTACACCCCAAAACCTCCCCAGCAGACAACGGTTTCGATTGCGGAACCAAAACCCTAAACCCTAATCTCTCAAGCTCAACCTTAACCCCCCTAATTGCCCCAGCAAACTGAATCGTCCCAGCAACAGCCAAATTCCTACTACCCAATTCATTCATTTCAATCGTCTTAACAAGTTTCGAAACATCAATCCCAATTTCAACAAAAACATACAAACAAGGGATTACCGTATTATCTACCGGAACAAGACAACTATGTCCGTAATGAATGAGAAGATCAGCGCCAAGCGCAGCAGCAGAGAGGTCGTCGACGCAACAAGCGCCGTAAGTAACGTCGGCAAGAACGAAGACGTCGGAAGCAGAAGCGAAGGTGCGGAAGATGTCGGAGAGAGAGAGGGAGTACATGAGCAACCCTTCGGGAAGTTGGAGCGCGATGCGCGGTGAAGGGGAAGAGAGAGAGAGGATTCGATGGACGGATTTGTGGATTTCGAAGTTGTAGTTGGAGGGGAGGAGAGAGATTGCGGCGTTTAAGGAGGGATTGTTGAGGATTGAGAATGGGATTTGGTTGCGTATGAAGCGTTTTGGTTGGGGTTTTGGGGTGGTTTTTGGGGTTGTGGTTATGGCGGAAGGTGGTATTGGTTGGTGGTTTTCCGGTGGTGGGGTGTCGTAGTTTTTCTCCATTTTTGGTTGGTTTGAGGTTTAGTTTTGGCGTTGGTAGGGAGATGGTGAACTGTTTATAAGTTTGCACTTTGCAGTCATTTCTGGCTTTCTGCGGGCACAAACAACCAACGACTTGGGTAATTCTTACAAAATAATTTCTTAGCACCGTACAAGGATTTGGAATAAAAGACCCTATGAAAAAAAATAATAATAAGAAGAAAAAAAATACATCTGGCTGAGGTTATTTGATTAAGAGATACTCAATCAGGGCTCCATGATCAAGAGTTACTCGATTGATTAAGGGGGTCAGTCAGTCGAGGGTAATTCGGTCAGTGTTTCAGCGTGTGTCAACCAGTCACACAAAAAAACGCGTTGTTTTGGAATATAATTTTTTGTCCATTACTCATTTAAGGCCAAATACTTCTTTTCTCCATGCCCACCTAAGGTTATCATTAGAGGTGGGCATGGGCTGTGTCGCCTGCGAGGCGGCACAAGCTAGACACGAGATTGGTCCCGCATGGCACGAGCCTGCCAGCGGCACGGCACGACACAGTGACCAAGAAGTGGACCGCGGGCCGGGCCGTGAACACGATTTTAAGAATCCGACACGAACCCGCGGCGGCATGGTAATTTGGCCGCCAACACGATATGACCATAAAATAACATAAATAATAAGAAAGAACTATAATAATAAAAAAAAGAATAATAAAAAGAACAATAATAATAATAATAATAATAATAATAATAATAATAATAAATTAATAAAATTATTTAAATAGTATATCCATTTTAAAAGTTGTTAAAAAATAATGGACGGCTCGGTGCCTGGCACGTGGGACGTGCTGTGGACTGGCGTGTGCTAAAAGGTGGCCTGGCCGGCACGGCACGAGCCACCATCAGGCACGGCTTGGCACGATACGTTGCCCACCTCTAATTATAAAAAAATATTAACTAAAAAACTATGAGCAAACAAAATCTCGAGAATAAAAAAAAACCTACTTAGGATATTATAATGTCTCCAAAAATAATTTGAAATTGGCTTATAAGTAGTAAATTTAAAGAAAAGGGAGCAAAAATATTTGTAAAATGTGCATAGAAAGATTAGATATTTAAAATAAAAGTTATAATTAAACATTTGTATAATAGGCGATGCTAATCGAGATTTTTTTTTTTTCTTTTTTACACAAAGTTCATTGAATGAAAACAACAAGATTAAGGTTAAAAGTCGCAAATTTGTTTAATTTTTATACCAATTCGTTGCAACATTTTAACCTTTATACTAACTTATATACCACTGTACGCTGACTTTTATACTAATGTGATCATTGTCTTATAGTAGGCTAGATTTTCAAGCATTTATTTCAAAGTTTGATAATATGTTTGATATTTTCAACTCCTAAAATTAGATATTCATTATTTCTTCCCCAAGCTATGAGTATGACTACTTACTAGTACTTCACTTATGGTGAGTAGTTCTACCATCGCAACTCTAACTAAACACAATTGCCTATCATTAACATTTAAATTTCTACCATAGTTTCATTTTCCGATGCCCCCTCATCACACCATAATATACACCTTTCCAATTGAGAAAACAACACTTATCCAACTCAATTAGCAATTTATACACCTAGTTAGTGCTGTCAAATTTCAAACCGAAACCGTTTAACTGCCCGAAACTGACCGACCCAAATGAGAACCGAACCGATAAAAAACTGATTTTTTTGAAACCGAAAATCGACCCGAACTGTATTTTAGTAAACCCGAAACCGAATCGACCTGAATAATGTTAAACCGTGTAAGAACCAAACCCGTTAACAAACCGAGCCGAATATAAACCGAACTGAAAGAAAACCGAACCGAAAAAGAACCGAACCGTATCTAACCCGAAACCGGTACCAACCCGAAACCGTTTAAACTGGCAAAAAAACCGCTTACACCGAACCGTTAGCAAACTGCTACCCGTTTGCACCGAACCATTTAAAAACCGAACTGATTGTAAACCGAACTGGTTATAAACCGAACCGTTTATGAACCAAACCGCTTCTAAATCGAACCGTTTACAAAGTTTTTTATATAATTAAATGGATTTTTTTTTTTTGACGGAGATATAATTAAATGGATTAAATATTAGAAATCTTAGAATATTTTTTTTTAAAATAGCAAGGCAAATCATTCATTAAGGTCTTAAGGATAATCAGTGTTCACAAACAAGAGCAAAACAAGCAGGCTCAGGCATTGCCTCAAACTATTAGCAACACTACTGCCTCTAGTCATGTATACATTTGAGGTGATGAAACCAAATGAACAAAAAGCTTGTAATATTAAGTACCAAGGCTTGGCTGAAGGCGTAATACATAAAATTAATTCACAGAGACTATTAAGCATATGATTACATTGATTATGTGAGTAATAATGAAATAAAGATGGGAGTGTGCTAGTGACATGAATATACTATTAGGCTATGTTTTAATTCAGATTCAACTATAATTTAGTAAACTTGAAATGGAACCGATATGAATAACGTTAAAGTGGTTATACAATTGAAGAACCGAACCAGTTATAAACTGAACCGAAAAAGAACCGAACCAGTTAAAAACTGAACCGAAAAAGAACCGAACCAGTTATAAACTGAACCAAAAAAGAACCGAACTGTTTCTAACCCGAAACCGTTTCCAACCCGAAACTGTTTGAACCGGGATAAAAACCGTTTACACCGCACCGTTAACAAATCGCAACCCGTCTGCACCGAACCGTTTACTACCCGGACTGTTTACAACCCGAACCGAATTAAAACCTCTTAAGAATAAACCGAAACCGAATCGAACCGATAACTATTTAAACCGAACCAAAACCGACCCGTGAGACAATTAAACCGATTCCAAACCGACCCGATTAAATACCGAACCGATTTCAAACCGAATCGAAACCGAACTGTCAAACCGTTTTGACAGTGCTACACCTATTCTAATACTAAAAATTCTAGGGTAATCAAACTTATTTTGATCACCTTAAGCCATTCTATGAAGCATGATATAGTCCACAATATTAAAAAAAAAAAAAAAAAAAAAAAAAAAAAAAAAAAAAAGGGTAGACCCTCCAAGTAAATAAACTTTCTTCTTGTAATTAGTGTACTATATCATGGCAATAACATACTCAATTACTCATACATCTTAAAACTTTGCTAGGTAACTTTTATCAATGACATTTTTTGGCTCCAAAACCCATCATTTAAAATCAAGCAATTTCATCCTTTCCCTCCTAGACAACCACCAATGCCTTACCATCCCTCACCTCAACCAAATCCAATCTCACCTCATCACTTCCGGCACGCTTTCCGACACATACGCTGTCGGAAAGCTCGTGTCGGCTTTCGCAAACCATCCTACACACCTCTCTCATGCTTATAAACTCCTCATTTTCTCACCTAATCGCTCCAATTACATGTGGAACTCTTTGATCAAATTTTACATTGATAAGCATGAACCCATCAAAGCGATTTCTTTATACAAGAACATGATTTCTTCTGGTTCTTTTCCCAATAATTATACATTTTCATTTGTTATTAAAGCTACTAATGATCTTTGTGATTTGCCTTTTGGAATAATGCTTCATGCTCAGAGTATCAAATTGGGTTGGGAGAATTATGATTTTGTGCAAAATGGGTTGATTCATTTGTATGCTATGTGTAATGCGGTTAATTCATCTCGTAAATTGTTTGATGTGAGTGCAATTAAGGATGTTGTTACATGGACTGCTGTGATTAATGGGTATGTTAAAGTTGGTCGAATTGGGGATGCACGAAAGATGTTTGATGAAATGCCTGACAGAAATGTGGTTTCTTGGAGTGCGATGATCACTGGGTATGCTCAAATGGGGTTCTTTGAAGAGGCTCTGGAAGTCTTTAATGATATGCAGGTAAATGGATTTAGGCCTAATCATTCTTCGTTGGTTGGGGCACTTACGGCTTGTGCGGCTCTTGGAGCTTTTGATCAAGGGAGGTGGATACATGCGTATGTGGATAGAAATAAAATGGAATTGGATGTGAAATTAGGCACGGCGTTGGTTGATATGTACGCGAAATGTGGGTGCATTGAAATGGCTAATCGTGTGTTTGAGGATATGCCATCTAAGGATGTGTTTGCTTTTACTTCCTTGATTTCTGCACTGTCAAATCATGGGCAGAGTGAGAGAGCAATTGAATTGTTCAATAGAATGCAGCGCGAAGGGGTTGATCCAAATGGGGTTACATTCATTTGTGTCCTGGCTGCATGTAGTAGAATGGGTTTGGTAGACAAAGGATTGCAGATATTCAAAAGTATGAAACACCGTTATGGAATTGAACCGGGAGTTGAACACTATGGCTGTTTGATTGACCTCCTAGCAAGGTCGGGGATGCTACAGGAGGCAGCACAGCTAGTGAGAAAGATGTCAGTGAAACCCGATTCTTATGTATTGGGTGCACTACTCAATGCTTGTCGAGAATATGGTGATGTTGAGTTGGGGGAAGAAATTGTCAAACACTTAATGGAGCAAGGTCTCGACTATAGTGGGGTTCACACACTTCTTTCAAATATTTATGCATCAGCGAAGAAGTGGGATGGAGTTATGCATGTACGGGAACAGATGCAAGAGAAGATGGTGAGAAAGGTGCCAGGATGCAGCTTAATTGAAGTGGATGGTGTTGTTTCTGAATTTGGTGCTGGGCATAGGTATCACAAGCGAATGGAGGATGTAATGTTGTCTTTGCTTCAAATGGACAAGCACTTGCAATCCTTCTTGCTTGATCATAATTTTTCTCTTGGCTCTTGCACCTGAATTACATATTCCTGATGAAAGTTGTGGTTGGGTTTTATGGTGTTCAGAATAATCTATCAGTTTTACCACCCTCAGCAAATTAACAGAGGCAACTGCAGATGACAGCAATTGCAGATTCATTTAAGCATGAAATAACCATCTTTTTATCTTGCTAATTAAGGAGCAATTGGAGCAAATTTAGGATTTGGTCTCTCAGACTCCAAAGTTATGCTGCAGGGTGCTTGTTAGTCTATATGCGCAGTGGGTTCTATGATGTACCATTGCCTAATCAATCTACTAAATTAGGTTTGGTTTGTGAGAGTTGAAACTCTAACCAACAAAGCTCACCTCTACATCCAAATAACATAGGCACTATACATGTGCGGTACAAATTACAAAGATGATTTCCAGAATACTATAAGCTCATCTTCACAATTCATGTTATATTTGCTCCGAACAAAAGATTGTGTGTTTAATTCATACGGTATACTTCATTTAGAACTTCCTATTGTTTACTTCCTTAGTTGAAGATTGAATGTTACATTTTCCTCTGTATACCTATCCTCCTCCTCCCTTGTCCGTCCTCATTTGTCCTAAACACGGCCTCGATACCAAAATGTATTACATACGCCATTATCATCTACTCTAATAGCACATGGAGTGCAAAATATGCAAACACTTTACGCCACTAAGAGAATAATGCAGCAGAAATCATGAAATTGACTCCTCTCACATTCAAGCAGTCTAATCTTTCTTCTTTTTTTGGCTGAACAATTTAATATGTCTTTCACTTAATTATTTAATGGTTTCTTTGCTTTAAGCCATGATAGGACGTCAACTATATGATCGTCCATTTGTGGTTGTCAACATTTCACAAATATCGTTGGTCTATGTCAAATTGTCATTCTTGTAAGCTTCTAAATCTGACTTAAATTCCATGCTTTGTACATGGGTTTTGTACTTTTTGCAACAATTAATTGTTACAATTTCACAATTTTAGCTATGTTCTGGCATTATTAGTCTAGTCCCCTACCAAGTATGTATTAGGACTTCGTTGATACAATTTTGTACCAAAAATTGTAATATCGCAATTTTGTCATAATTTTTACAATTAAGTACCACTTTGAAACAATATACAAGTATGAAGTAATGAAGTTTTGTATACAAGTAATAATTCTTTATTTACTTGGAAAAAAACATAAATAATAAATATTTCGCATATAATAGTATTGAAAAAACATGAAACCAAAATTCGTTACTCTCTGTCTCAACATAGTGTTAGGCGCATAAACTTTTCTAATACTACGTATGTACTATGTATTATGTTAGGAATCACACCAGCACTTAAAAAAAAAATTACTAATAAGGTGCTAAGTCCTCTACTTACTATACTCCGTATGAATAGTGTCAAACCAAAGAGTTACTTCGTTTATGATTAGTTTCCATATTGTTTGGGTGAGAAAATTAATTTCAAGTGTTCACAATCTCATGTTTGTTTGTGGGGATTAGAGTGTCAATTCGGGTATATGGGTCGGGTTTGAGTCGGGTTAGTGTTGGTCGGGTCATCTCGGGTCGGGTCAGTACGGGTTAATGTCGGGACCTATGCGGGTCGGGTTCGGGTTGGGTCATGCTTGAGTCGGGTCATACATCTTATCGGGTTTTGGGTCGGGTTTAGGTCGGGTCAATAAAAGGTCGGGTTACATTCGGGTCGGGTGAAAAACATGTCGGGTTACATTCGGGTTTTTACGGGTTTAAACGAGTTAGGGACCTTAGGGTCCTATTCGGGTTCGAGTCGGGTTCGGTTCAAGTCAATTATTTGCGGGTTATAATCAGGTCGGGTCATTATCGGGTTCGAGTCGGGTTCGGTTCAAGTCAATAATTTGCGGGTTATAATCACGTCGGGTCATTTCTTAGTCGGGTCATTCTCGGGTTCGGTTCAAGTCAATAAAATTTTTAAATTTTTTTTTTTAAAGCTCCAAATCAAATTGCATAATTTAAAACATTTAAAAAAAATATTAAAATAAACAAGTGATTACTAAAATTTGAAAAAAAGGATCAATAAAAGGATTATAAGTAGTTATATGGAAGTTTACTTTGAAGATAAATTTAGAAAAAAAAAAATAATCATTTGGCTGATTTAATTAGACAAAATCACAATCATCGATTCACCTCACTCACCTCATATAGCCTCAAATACGTTTAAATTCGGGTTAGTAATAGGTCGAGTTTAAATTCGGGCTAGTAATAGGTCGAGTTTAAATTCGGCTCGGGGCAATAACAAGTCGGGTTGAATTTGGATCGGATCAATAACAAGTCGGGTTGATTTCGGGTCGGGTTTGTAACAGGTCGTGTTTAAATTCGAGTCGGGTTAGGAACGGGTCGGGTTGACCTCGGGTCGGGTTAGTAACAGGTCGGGTTGAATTCGGGTTTTGACGGGTTAAATCGGGTTTGGATCATTCTCGGGTTCGAGTCGGGTTCGGTTCAGGTCAATAATTCACGGGTCACATTCGGGTCGGGTCCTCTCTAGGTCGGGTTATGGTCGGGTTCGGGTCTTAAATACTTGGGTCAACTCGGGTCTAGGGTTGGTTTCAGGTCGGATTATCGGGTTCGGGTCACCATTTTTTTCGGGTTCAGACGGGTTAGGGTTAGGGTCGGTATTTCGGGTCGGGTCAGCTTTTCACAGCTCTAGTGGGGATTGAAATAAAAATTTGGAAATGAGCTTAGGAATATTTGTCTTCTATTCTCAAGGATATACTTGGAGGAAGGTGACATTAGGGAAAGGGGATTAAATCAGGCCAAAATAAAAAACTCTTAATGAATGTTAAAAGGAGTATATTAATAAATAATAATGGTAAGTCTATAAGTTTGTTATTTATTTACAATATAATCCCAACACCAACCAAAAAATGGGCATTGATCCTATTTCTATAATTTCTTGATTCCCAATCTTCAAACTCTCATTCACAGATGACAAACGACTTGTATATGCATCTTGTAAAAGGACCAAAAATGTCGAGGAAGCTTGTTGCTCTATATGATTGTATTTCCAATTATTCCTAGGGTTCCAGAAGTTTCTTATCCATCTAAGTCTTGAAGATAGAAGGGGAGCAATTGGCCAATTAAGTTCGCAATTCTTGGTAAAACAATCTAGCCATGAAGATTGTTCATGACTTCATATCTTCACAATGTCCCCAACCGTATATACTTTGGGTTCTTATTGCAAAGTTCTATGCTAAGTGCCCAACTACTCACGTTTAAATTGGCCCGTGACATGACAGTTGATATTCTGCATGTTGGGCTATGGCACATTTTCTTAATTCAAAATATAGAAAGATTAAGGTAGGCAAATACAATACAATGGCACACAAGGGTCGTGCCTTTATAATCTTTAGAAAGATTCACATGCACATAGTTTGTGGATTGTATGGTGTAGACCTAGCAAGTAGCAACCTAAGGCGCAAAGGCTGGACACAAGGAACAACTCGCAACCTTCTTTACTCTCGTTGCCATCAAAGCAAGAACTCGTTGTCCTTGTTCCAATTTACCTTGTGTTAAACTTAGTAGAATGAGTGTGAATAACCAATGATCTTGTAGCAGTAGCTTTATGGGGTGTATTGATGTAGTTTGTACTTTGTAGGACTTTAGTTTTCAATAGACCTGCTTATTAGGCGGGTCGGGTCAGGGTCGGTTGCGGGTCAGGGTCAAATAGGGTCACATTTTATAGGGGTTTATATAGGGTCGGGACGATGCGGGCCACGGGTCAATAATGGGCGGGCCTACAAAATATCAATTAAAATAAATATTGAACAAAGCCATTATTAAATACATATTAATACAAATTAATCTATATAATTATTTTTACATTATGTATTTTCTTTATCAACTAAATTGGAAAAACATGTTGGCCCTATATTGACCCTACCCAATAAGGGCCATGTCCATTAATAGCTCTGTCCATTAAAAGCCCTATAAACTTGACCCTGACCCTATTATTATTAGACTACCCTGTCCAATAACCACCTCCAGTTTTCAATTACAAAAATAATTTTAAAAGTTGAAGAAGAAAAAAAGTCTTGATTCAATCATAATAAGGAAATCCAATCAAAGACAATTCCAATTTTAAAAATGTACTAACAACTTTTCCTTCACGTCCAAAGATAATATACAGTATGTGACTTTATATTCTATTATTCTGTGGAGAGAAAATTATGTTCATTTTTTTTTTCCAATCTAACTTTGGCTTTTGTCAAAAAAGGAGGGAAAATAGACTTGACTTAATGCACTTTTGTCGAGCAGAAGTACCATTACAACGTGATACTTAAGGTAGGCTAATCACAACCACAAAACACTAGGCTATTCAGCCTAATAACAGATTACAATCACCGGAAAAATAAATTTCTTTACTTGCAGACCTCCTATTTTAATTGTAGTTGTAATTGAAAGTTTTCCGAATCGCACTTCCGTGAACTATACCATGGTACATGTGTTAGATTTTTTAAATTAAGCCAAAACCTTAACAATATGTTTGGATAAAGGGGAAGGAAAAGAAGGGGAGGGAGGGTAAGGGAAGGAAAGGGAGAGCCGGAGAGGATAAGGAAAGATGATGAGTTTTCCTTTTGAATTTCTCCATGGTTGGAAAGATCGATGAATTTATTAATTTAAAATCTCAATTTCTTTTCTCTTCATTTGTTATTATCCAAATAAAAGACACTCCTGCCTTCCCTTCCTTACCCTCCATTTCCTTCAATCTAAACACACTGTAATCGTCAAATCGGAATGTCTTGTTACTATGTACGACAGTAACGAGTAATCAATTTAGATGAAGACTCAAAAACTGACTACCCCAACTTATTCTAGAAACAAAGAGGTGTATACACCTACATAAAGGCATAAAGTGATCATAAATCATAACCAACCTAAATCCCATCCGCAAAAGTCATAATTCCCCATTGGCATCCAATATTCAATAATTACACTCTGATATCTACCATTATCTCGTGAACCAAACATTAAGAAAATATAAATGAGTTTCACTAAAAATCAATTTAGACATTCAGAGTGATATATCATTAGCAAACACACTGAAACAAGGCAAATCTGCAGCAGCAGAACACTCAAAGTAGTGAGCTTAAAATGAGTCCTCACAAAAATTTGTGCAAGTAATTACACTATACACTGTCACCAACCAAACCAGCAACCCTTCTTGACCTTCTCCTTTATCAAGTTCAATATTTCAAAAAAAACTGTATATAGATAATCATAAAAAACTTTCAAATGCTTCTAATATGCTGTGAATGACATGTTGAGAGTTACGAATAAGACCTAAAGTTATCAATTAACAGCAGAGTCAACAGTGTTCCAGATATAGCATCAGCACAGAAAAGCACGAGATGAAATTGAGTAATTCCAGCAAATGATACACTTGACAATTATCCAAGAGGTTATCAAGGACTAGTTAACAAGGCACAGCATCCATATAATTTTTTCCCAGTGGCTCACAGGTAGACCAAGAACCCCACAGGCAATGTTCTAGTGCAACTAGATTTGACAAATTCTCAAATTTCACATGATTATCATTTAAGGAACAATGACAAATCTCAGCTGGTCCACAACATAGGTAACACCGACAGAATGAATAGCAATACCTTGATAATCTGTTTTGTATTCTAAAATACTCATATCATTAGAAATTTGGAAACCAAAACCTGAACAAGTAGCAAAACACACTACACCTTGCCACTTTACAGATACTCTGTGTACGGCTCTTGCTTCTGGCCACATTAAGATTCTAGAGTGACAGTGCACACATTCCGACTAGTCGAATCACACCAGCCTTCCCATGAAACCCTAAAGGCATAATTTTCACAAATGAAAAAGATGCCAAAGAGATGAGAGGAAGAAATGGAGCAAACAACTCATGTAATAACTAAGGAGTCTACAGGGTTAAGACGGAAGGAAAAAACAGTGTGGAAACATTGATACCACCAGTTCATTCCTGTGGGTGTTCATCAAGGTAGCTAAGAATAGAATAGGTGAAAAAAGACTATGGAGCTAGATAAATGGTGTTTGATACAGGGAGGGAAAGATATTAAGAAACAAGTGTTCTAATTGACACTATCACATAAAAAGGGCAAAAGGCACAATGCTGGACAATCATCACTGTCAAAGATGTCAGACATAAATCAATTCTCATATGCCATGCCAAGTGCTCAAGTCATATCAAATATCAACATGGTTGTTAGAAGGGTAAATGAAAACTTCATACAACAAACTTCATTCTTAGATGTCTTGATTGGTCTAGGTGTCTTGATTGGTCTAGGTCCTAAACCAAGAAGGCTAGTAAAAAACAGTGAAACAACCAGCTTGTGAAACAACAAGGGTCGCAGTTTATAGAGAGTGCAAATCACCCCATCCCAGATTTCCAAGTCCTCTTGAACCGCAAATCAACATGCAAAAAAATGATATAATAAAACTAGCTGTGGTATTAAAAAAAAAATACAACAACGCTAATTTACTAGTAATTCATGAAAAAATTGCAAGATTCAACAGCATTAGCCTCCCAACAAACCAAACATCTTAGAAGATTTTGCTAACAACTACCATTTAAATAACCACTTTTGAGAACAACTACCATTTAAATTTTTTTTTTTGAAAAACTACCAAAAGAACACAAAAACTTTGAGTGGCACTACCACTTTAAGTTTTCCAACAAGAATCTTCGGTTGGAGAGCTCCATTTTATACAATTTTCGACCAAAAAACCTATATGAATTGACAAAATGACCCTTACATTAACCCTAAATTGGATAATACAATTCAATTGCTCCATACACCCTAATTTCTTAAAACCCTAAATTCAATTTTTTAATTATAAACCCTAATTTAAGATAAAATTGAGAAATTAAATCAAGTATAATGCAAATTTTAAAACAATTTACCTACAATTGTGTTTAGCCACTGAATTCCCTAGTTATTTCAACCACAATTGATTAAAATTTTATAAATTAGGCCCACTAACTGAAAATTATTGCCAGAAAATTATATGTGGTAGTGCTACTCAAAGTTTTTGTGGTAGTTTTTTGAAAAAAAAGTTTTAAATGGTAAATGTTCTCAAAAATGATAATTTAAATGGTAGTTGTTGGCAAATTTTCCAACTAAAAGCCTACCACATACATTCAGATAGTCGAAACAACAATTTATTTAGACACTCAGCAACTCCAAAAAGCACATAAAATACCAAAGTAGAATAATATGAATATTCAACGATCAAAGTAAAAAACGGTCTCACAAATTCAGCTACCACCGCATTCCCCTTCTCATTCAAAATTCACAAAAATCAAGCTCAACCAAATCACCAATCTTTAACCTTCCATTATGCAGGCTCGAAAAATCAACAACTACTACATATTATTTCCTGGGATGCCAACACACTAACACCATCCATCACAAAGCCATTAGATCAAATTTAGAACATTAAACGGCTTCACAATCAATCATCAAAATTCAATTTACTATCAATTTGTCAAGATATACCATAAATTCACAGTAATTATACTTCTATATATATAATAACGTAGCCATCATCATCATCATCGTTATCAGTGAAGATATCATTAACAATTTAATAGTGAATAAAAGTCCAACCAGGTTGTTATACTTATACATTCATCAACCTTTAATTTCATCCATTCATCAAATTACATTACAACTAAAAACCCGAAAAAAAACACGAAACAAAGAAATGTCTGATTACCCACATCACGCAGACTCCTTAGCAGGAGCGGGAACCGGGGCGGCAACAGCAACGACAGGGACAGGGGCAGAATCAACACCCTTAACAGGGGAAGCAGGAATAGCAACATAGCCAGGTTTCTTAGGATTAAAGATATCATCATCATCGTTATCGTCATCGCTATCGCTGTTAAACCCATCCAAAGAACGGTAAGACCCATGTCCGTGATTGAACAAGGACCAAATCAAGTACATGGTTCCAGCAGTAAGAGCACCACAAGCAGCACCAAAGAGAAGCGAAGCAACAACACTGAGAATATCCTTGGTTCTTTCCCTCAAAGAACTGAACCCAAGAGGCAGGAATTCGGGTCTTTCATTGATGGGTTGTTCGGGTCTGAATTCGGGCTTCTGGGTTTTGTCGACGACGGAAAAGGGCATGAAACGACGGGGGCGGAGTTGGTGGTGGCGGAGGAGAGGGCGGAGATCGGCGGAGACGACGATGAAATGGGGGTTGTTTGGGATGTCGGAGTTAGGGTTTTGAGGGAGGAAAGAGAAGGAGTAGGTGGAAACGATGAGGGTGTTGCAGGGGTGGAAAGGGAGGCCGGGTCGGGCTGAGACGGCCGAGAGGATTGAGGAGATCAGGAGGAGAGAGAAAATGGAGGTCACCGACGATGACGCCATTGAAGGAGATGAGAGGAGAGAGAAAATTGGAGATTTGGGGGAATTTGTTTTTGCGGTGATGAAGAAATTTGGGAATGAGTTCTGTAATTTGTTATTGAGTTTTTGTTGGGTACGCGTTAAGACTTTTTGGAGAGTGTTAAAGATGGTGATTAAAGTTGGTTTCTCTAATCATAATTTTTTACCCCGTTGTTCACGCAATCGGTAGACATTGTACCCGAGGGAAGCCCTAGTTGATCTATTAGAGTAAAGAAGCATGTCAATCTAGTGTCAAAACTAGTTCCAAAACTAGTCACTATCAGAATATGAGAATATTTGTTGTGCCTTTCTCATTGATTAAACATCATTAGAATATTTGTTGTGCCTTTCTTATTGATTAAACATCATTATATAATACAAGAGTATACTATGGTTAGGGTTAAGAGTACAATAGTTATATATTATACATACTAAATATACACTAGATTATTTACATAATCTAACACATCCCCGCAGTCGAAACTGAAGGATTGCGAACGCTGAGATTGTCCTAAAAATCATCAAATAAAACATTAGGCGGATCTTTTGTGAAAATGTCTGCAATTTGGTATCAGGAAAGCACATGTAGAACACGAACTCGCCCCGTTAAACTTTCTCACGAACAAAGTGTATGTCCATCTCAATATGTTTAGTGTGTTGATGTTGTACCGGATTACTAGAGAGGTAAATGGCACTAACATTGTCTCAATAAACCAATGTCACTTTAGAAATGGGCAATCAAAGCTCATGCAACAGATTACGAACCCAGCAGGATTCAGAAAAGACATGTGCAACGCCTCTGTACTCTGCTTTAGCACTAGACTTAGACAAAGTAGGCTAGCGTTTAAAGACCAAGAGATCAGATCATCACCAAGAAAAACACAGTATTCTGATGTAGAATGGCGACTGTTCGGACACTCGCCCCAATTGACATCCATGTACGACAGAATAGAAGAAACATATGATGTAACACCCTAGAAATTCCTTTCTTAAAAAATACCTGTTTTGCCCTATTTAAAACTTTAAATAGGAATATCTAAGATATTACCGCCACCGTGAAAACGGCTAAGCCAATTATCAAAGACACACAACGAAAGACTATCTTTAAAAACATTCAAAACCAGTCAACTTAAAAAGTCAACTAAACGAAATTAAAGTAAAGTCAAACCCAAGGCAAATGAAGTAAAATAAAATCAACTTACAACTTGGAACCATTGTAGGCCCTTATTAAAACTAATTAAATATGAAAAACCTTTGCGTTAGTCTCATGAATATCCATAATATAAAATAATCAAAACATTAAACACATCATAAACTAATAGAATCTAGCATGATTCGCTCTTCATTCATGTCCATCATGAATATGCTTCATCACCTGAAAAACTCCTCTCTACTTGTCCCCACTACTCGCCATTAGAAATGGGTCGTCGTAGGGTCAAAGTAAAGACAAGGCCAACAAACACACAAACACACACAATCAGCAAACCTGAGTACATAAACGTATTTAAACACACTAACATGATTTCACCTATCAAGACACACTTACCTCAATGCACCTGTTTTACAAGCACACACAACATTCAACAAAACCTTTCAACTAGACACTAAATAATTTATTTAGCGTTGATTACGCATTGAACAGGTTTCCAACTCTACCTCCCCCAAATAATTGAGGTTATTGACACGGGATCTAACTGTGTCAGTATCAAAACCACACATAGGTGGCGAAATTCTTGTGCATAATAATAAATAAAAGGAATGTACAGTGTCCTGTACTCAAGTAGAAGTTATGGTTAAATATAAAACCCCATAACTCCCCCATATGTTCATACTCAAGGTATATACGTTCCAATAGTTTTGGTGCGTAATCTCTTTCACTTTACGTTATTTACATATTATTAAACTTGGTGATGACTCTTAAACCATAATAATTCAATCAATGATAATTATTCAAACAATCAAACATACCAATTTAATTATTGAATAATTAGTGACCACATAATATTTAATGTAGAACCATTTTTAAATCTACCTCAGTGTCAAAGACACCTTAAACGCATAAAGCGCCACAAATCCTATCCCTCGGTGTTAGAAACACCTTAAGTGCACTGAGGCACCAAAATATAATTTATTCCTCGTGTACATAGACACTTATATAGCTCCTTTCTCATGCTTATAGCATCAATAAAAATTATATTAACCATAATAAAATTCCTTTTCAATATTTCAAGCCAAATTAAACATTTAGTTTAATTAAATATGCATTCCAACATGTCATAAATAAAAGTGTGGTTCATACAAACACGCCAAAATATAATTTTCCATTCCATAATCCATCACAAATAAATCATGCTTTCCAATTTAATCCACAATTTCCAATCATAATCTTAGCATGATACTACTTGGGATTAATTTAAATCAAGCCTAGCATGATACTACATCATCAAAATAGGCTAAGTACGCGAACATACCTCAATTAAGCCCTTAAAGTAGCCGATTACACTACAACAATTCCCGGATCAAGTCTCCTACATAAAGGACAATAATACTATATTAATTCTCCTTGTATACACAATTTCCAGCAACTTAAATTTACTTTAGACTACTTAAAATAATCTGAAAATTATTTAAAAACCCCTAATTAAACTCCTTGTTAATGGGTAATCACACCGTTTTATTAAAATCACAATTATACTACTTTGAATAAAATTCCAACATTTTAAACTAATCAAAAACCCTTTTAAAACTTCATCAAAATACATCTTTATACTTAAATTATCCATAGAAACATTAAATTATCTCTTACCCTTTTAAACTCAAGGATAAAATTTAAAGCATAAAAAAAAAAAAAAAAAACTTCGTTAAAAATAAAAAAAACTGCCCGAAAATCATATTTAGAGGCTGAATTTGGCCAAGAGATGGTGGTGCTCATTACCAAAGGTGGTTAGTCTTTCTTAGAACGTTGTTTTCACATAGAAAACACTACTTTTTTTTTTTATCAAAATCGAATGAATTCAGAACCTGTTCGGGATTAAAACGGGATTAATATTAACAAACGGAAATCTAAATATTAAAACACGAATTTACGTGTTCAAAATAATCTGGAATTAAGTTAAACTAATCAGTAGTTATAATCACCAAAATTTCAAAACATCATTACTATAAAAGCCCTAAATAAATTGTTCATAAAAACCCTAAAATCATGATTTTCAATAATAAAAAAAACCCTAGGTTATAAAATTTACAATATCTGAAAATTATGACATATATAAAATCTGACATTATAAAGTTTAATCATCAAAATACAATTTGATACTAATTAAATTAATTTCAAACAATCAAAACCCATAAATCAATAGTTATAATTACACAAATTAATAAAACAAAGGAGAAAGAAAATAAGACTAACCTTTTTGTGTGGGAAATTTTTGGGGATTCATGGGTTATTTATAGAGTAGAGAGTGTAGGGTTAAATTTGGGCTTATAAAAATATGGGCTTAAGTTATGGGATAGGGCTTAAGTTATGGGTTTTGGAATGGGTTATTCCAATAAGCGTATGCAGGAATGATTTACATTGCCCAATAATTAATAAACGTTTGACCCAAAATATATTTTACTTTTATAAAACCTTATATTTAAAATACTTTAACCCTTTAAAATATTTAATTAAAATACTTGAGCCCTTAACAATACATTTTGTTAATACTTAAATACTTTATAAAAATACATAAAGATACGAGGCATTACATATGACTTATATAAATGTAAACCAAAATCTGTCGTACCTTGAATATATCGTAGTATGTGTTTCAATGCATATGAAATATCTGGTAGGGTGAAGGTGGAGTACTGCAGAGCACCACAGAGGCGCCGCTAAGTCGTAGGATCATCATATAAAGCACCCATTTGAGTGCTCAATTTGCCTTTGGAGTCAACAGGAGTGGGCATAGGCTTGCAGGTAGTCATTATTCCTGCTTTTTCCAATTTTTCCCATGTATACTTCTTTTGAGACAAAAATAAACCAATTTTATCCCTAGTAATAGCAATATCAAAAAAAATAGCACTATTACCAAGTCCTTCATTGCAAATCAGAATTAATTTAAGCTGTGAAATAACATGACGTCGAGAGACTCCGAGGAAGTTGTAAGCACAATGTCATCAACATAGAGAAGAATATAGCAATATCATGGCCATGGCGATAAACAAACAACGAGTTATCAGATTTGCTATTAACATAATCGATACTAGCCACAAAATCTAAAAACTGTTGGTACCATGCTTGGGGTGCATGTTTCAGACCATATAGTGACTTATGTAACAAATTAACAAACATGATTAGGTCTATTAGGATCTTTGAATCCCAATGGTTGATACATATACACAGTTTCATTCAAATTACCATGTAAGAAAGCATTCTTAACATCCAATTGATGAATTAGCCAAGACTTGGCTAAATTAATGCTAAGAACCACCCGAATAGTAGCCAATTTAACAACCGGACTAAAAGTCTCATCACAATCAATCCCTTCCCTCTAAGTTTTACCATCACCAACAAGATGAGCCTTGTGTCTCTCAAAAGAACCATCAGACTTAGTCTTATGCCGAGAAATCCACAATGAGCGAATAATATTCACATTAGACGGACGTGGTACCAAATCCCAAGTACCATTATCAATAGAGCATCATAGTAGACCTGGCAAATGGGTCATTCGGGTCGGGTCTGGGTCAGGTCACTTTTGGGTCGTGTCAACTAACATTTGGGTTGGTATGGGTCGGGTCACAATGTCATCAATAAAGTTTTAGAGAGTATATTTCAGTTTATGAGCTTAGCTACGATTGAAAATGAACAATTTGAGTTATTTTTGGCACAAGACATTTTTTGTTCAACTATAAGGTAATTTTAGTTTGGGGCATTTCTGGTATTGGGTCTGTTTGGGTTAATATCGGGTCTGTTCGGGTCAATTTTGGATATCGGATAATTCCTA